AGTTTGAATTATCATCCAAGAAAAGCGAATGTGGTAGCTGATGCGTTGAGTTGAAAGACTTTACATATGTCAGCAATGATGGTTAAAGAGTTGGAATTAATTGAACAGTTCAGAGATATGAGCTTAGTTTGCGAAGTGACGCCGCAAAATGTTATGTTGGGAATGTTGAAGATTAAAAATGATTTTCTGGATAGTATCAGAGAAGCTCAGAAGTTAGATGTGAAACTGGTAGATTTGATGGTTGGGATCGATCAATATGAGAATAGTGATTTTAAGTTAGATGCGCAAGGTGTGTTGAGATTTCGTAATCGGATTTGTATTCCTGATGATGCAGAGATGAAGAAAGTGATCCTTGAAGAGAGTCATATAAGAAAGCTGAGTATTCATCCAGAAGCTACAAAGATGTATCAGGATTTGAAGAATTTGTTTTGGTGGCCTGGGATGAAGAGTAATGTGGCTCGGTTTGTGTATGCATGTTTGACTTGTCAGAAGTCGAAAGTTGAACATCAGAAGCCTGCAGGGTTGATGCAACCGTTAGAAGTTCCAGAATGGAAATGGGATAGCACTTCGATGGACTTTGTGACGGGATTACCTAATACTCTAAGAGGACATGATTCAATTTGGGTGATTGTTGATAGGCTTACAGAGTCGGCTAATTTTATCCCTATTAAAATCATCTTTCTAGTGTCGAAGTTGGCTGAGATTTACACTAGTGTAATTGTGAAGCTGCATGGTGTTCATTTGTGCATTGTGTCAGATAGAGATATGAGGTTTACTTCTGATTTTTGGAAGGGTTTGCAAGAGGCGTTGGGGTCTAAGTTGAGGTTGAGTTTGGCGTATCATCCTCAGATGGATGGTCAGACAGAAAGGACTATTCAATCGTTGGAGGATTTGTTAAGAGCATGTGTTCTTGAGCAGAGAGGTTCTTGGGATACTTATATTCCATTAACAGAGTTCACTTATAATAACAATTACCATTCTAGTATTGGGATGGCACCTTTTGAAGCGTTGTATGGTCGGAGATGTATAACTCCTTTATGTTGGCATGAATCTGGAGAAAGTGTAATGCTTGGACCTGAACTTGTTCGTGAGACTACTGAGAAGGTTAAGATGATTCATGAAAAGATGAAAGCTTCCCAAAGTAGACATGAGAGTTATCATGATAAGCGAAGGAAGGATTTGGAATTTCAAGCTGGTGACCATGTGTTTTTGAGAGTTACATTTGTAACTGGTGTTGGGCGAGCATTGAAGTCTAAGAAGCTCACTTCTCGTTTTATTGGTCCATATCAGATTTCGGAAAAAGTTGGGAATGTGGCTTATAGAGTGGCTTTATCGCCTAATCTTTCGAATTTGCATGATGTGTTTCATATGTCACAACTCCGGAAGTATATTTCAGATCCATCTCATGTGATTCATGTGGATGATGTACAAGTGCGGGATAATCTTACTGTTGAGACGATGTCCGTACGAATTGTGGACCGTGAAATGAAGACTCTGAGAGGCAAGGAGATTGCTTTGGTTAAAGTAGGCTGGTTAGGAGCTGCTGGAGAAAGCATGGGAGTTGGAAAGCAAGATGCGGGACTCATATCCTGAGTTGTTCGAATGAGGTAAATTTTCGAGGACGAAAATATTCTATGTGGGGGAGAGTTGTAACGCCCGTAATTTAATTAATTAATTAATTATTTTATTAAATTATTTTTGGATTATTTGTGAAGTTGCATGATGTTAAGACTTATCAGTGTGGGTTGTTGGATTATTATTAATTAATTAATTAGTTGATTAATAATAATTATAATGTGAAATTAAAGGGAATATATGAAATAATGTTGGACTCTTGCTATTGGTTAGAAGTAGTAAAGTGGGGGTGTAGGTTAGGCCCAAGAGGATTGTTATATAAGGCTAAGCTAACATAAGGAATTGTTTTTGTTGGAGAATAAGTAGCCCTGTGTGTTGCCCGGAAGAGTTGCATAGAGAGAGAAGCAAGCTGTCCGGTGACGAGCAGAACGAAGCAAAGCCGTCGCCTAGAGTTTTTGGTTGAGCGACTTTCAATCTAGGTAAGGGTGGGGTTCTGACCTTATAATGGGATTTATGATGTTTGTTATGGAGAATTGGTCGTAATTGTGATTGTTTCCCGTGATGTTGTTGAACTTGTTAAGGGAAGATGCCCGTTCTGTTATGTTGTGGACATTTTTAGTTACGTGATTGTCGGTTTAATCGATGTGTAGGTTAGGTCGTGATGGTCGTTAGGATGTTAGGTTATTCCGAGCGATTGGTAGGAAAACTGGTAAATTGTTGAAGTGGCCGTTTTAAAGAGTTTCTGCGTGACTATCTTGTATGTTGATGAATCTGTTGATAGGAAATATAGTTGCCCATTATTGTGTTACTCCGAGCGGTTGGCTGGAAGTTATGAATTATAGTGGTGTGGTCATTAAGACGTTGTATCGTACCTGTGTTGTTGGCCGAATTAGTGGTCAGGGAGGATACTGAAGAAGTAGGTATCGAGCGGCATTTTAAGCTGCAAGGCGTGTCGGGAATTATGTGTTAGATTCTGAGCATAATTAGATTGCAGGACATGTTGAGGAGCATAGGTTGGTCGTTGCCCTGTTTTCCCCTGTGCGTGTCGAGGAGTATGGATTATTCGTTAGGTTGTCCTAGTTGTTGTGCATGTCGAGGGGGCACGTAGTTCCCTATCCCTTTTTCCCGTACATGTTATGTTTTGATTGTTACCAGTTCTGTGTGAAATTACTGTTAAGTTGTTGTTTGATTATGTTAATGACTGAATCGTTGATTGATGTGATAGGCTTATGGCCAATGTTGATTTATGTTGAGTTGTTGTGATGTTGTGATTGTTGTTGTGAATTCTCGTTGATAATGCGAAGTTGCAGGGAATTTACATGATGACGAATTACCTCTATTTACTGGTAATAGCGGTGATGTGGGCTTATGCCTTGCGATGGATGATGATTGTTGTGAGTATGTGATAGTGCATTCATATACATTTGCATACTCTGTGATGGCCTGGATTGGAAAACTGCGAAGAAGGCTTATGCCTTGTTGATTCCTCTATTTATTGATAGATTTTAAGATGAGAGTTCTTCTCCAATGGTACCACATGCATTTGCATAGTATTGAGTCGCATTTCAAGTAGTATGATTGAGTTGTTGTGTTGATAAATTAATTTTTGTATTTTGTTGATAGCCTGTTGTGATTGTTGTTGTTTATAAGTTGTGAAGTGGTGACTTTTGCATGAATTGATTCCAATATAATATTGATCATACGTTCTATTATAGTGTTTGATATCTCACCCCTTATGTTTGAATGTTACCCTTATGTTGGTAACATGCAGGTAATCCAGAGTGAAGGCGGTTGACCTTCAGTAGTTCGAGTCATTTTCATTGCTCTGATACGTAACACTCGGGGGGATGATCGCTTGTTGCTTTAGTATTTGTTATTTCAGTTGGCTGAACTTTAAGTTGATTTTTGTTATGTACTCGCTATTTAGAATTTGCTTTCATGTTGGATAAAGATGTTATTATGATTCTGCTACGTAGTTGTTCAAGTTGTTGATTTAAAAGATTAATTTATTTTATTGTTGGTTCATCCGAAGTTTTAAAGTGTTATATCCATGTTGAATAAAATGGTTTTTAAGTTGAATTTGTGGCATCTGGATTCAGTTGTATAATTTTTATAACTCTGATTTACATTTATATTGTCGGGTAGAATTAGGGTGTTACAGAGCTTACCGGAGTGAGTTTATGGGATGATTGGAGGATTTGAGAGCTACGCTAGTGAAGTGTGTGTCCCAAGATGAATGTCTTGCTTATCCCTCTGGAGAGAGCCCCTTTATATAGTATGTATCTTTGCGTCATCAAGAGTCTCAATTAATGAGTGACTCTTGAGTTCTATAACTCTATAACCTCCGTCGTCCCCATGAATGGAAGAATAAAAATTGTGTAACCCTATAATGATTGTGTCGCCGGAGGTTACAGACATTAATGAGCCGAGGTGATGACCGATCACGAGTAGGTGAATCCCGACTACCAATCATATCCAGTTCGATGACGATGACATGTTGTCTCCCGAGTCCATGGATTATCTGATACTCCCTTAGCTAAGTTGAACCCCAGATACCTTCGCTCTGAGCCGACTACTAATTTAACCTTTCTCCTAACCGATTACACTACCCGATCGGGCCTATTATTTCCGAGGTTTACAATTATATTCATGCAATTTATTAGATGATGTAGTATTTAATATATTTAATAAACATTTGAATTACATATTTCATGATAAATTTTAAAATAATGTTGATAAATTTTAATTTAGTGAAACATTAGAAAAATTAAAAAGATCAATAAAAAAAATTATAATAATATTATTTTAAATTAATATAATCAATTTCAAAATTACAATACTTATTTTATGTATCACATTAAATTTAATTAAATTTATATATAGATTTTTTATGCATTTTAAATCTTTAATTTTACATTTATATTAAAAATATTTTGTATATTTATTAATAAATTTATTTTAAACCAATAAAAAAATAATAATATAATATAATAAAATAATGAGATCACATTTCATATTTATTAATTAATATAATTATTATTTTATCAAATATTTAAATTAATTTATCAATTATCCATCGTCAACTTTAAACTATCCATTATCAACTTGTATAAATTATATTGATGTAACTAGAAAAACAATTTTTTGGTCAAAATAAAACAAGTGATGTCACTTAGTGAATCAAATGGCCAAACATCAATTAAGTTAGTGGTGTTAAAATGTACAAAAACTGAGGGCTAAGCTTGTAGCAAAGTCAAGCCAGACTGTCCTTCTATCTCCCACTATATAAATTCCATCAAACCTCTCATTCAAATGACCAAATTCCTTTTCTCCACTACCCCATACCAAACTGAGAAAGGAAGGAGGAAACAAAACAACTCACAAAAAAACCATAAAATATATAAAAATATTAATCTTTCTCCAAAATGGCTACTTCAGTTGACAACCGTCAGTATCGTGGCCTAAACAGCGTCGTTCGCACCTTCAATCCCAACAACAACTTCATCCATGAACTGAAACTGGGATTTCCGGTAAACTTAGATCCCTTCAGCAGTGACGACGAAGACGACGACGATAACACATTAAACCTCCAAGAACTCATACGAAAAACCAACACGGAAGTCGAACCGTCAATTCTCGACCCACGGGACGAGGGAACCTTAGACAACTGGGTCACACGAAACGCTTCCATGGTTCGACTCGCAGGGAAACACCCCTTCAATTCAGAAGCACCACTCCCTCGTCTCATGCACCACGGTTCATCACTCAGGTTCCAATCCACTATGTTCGAAACCATGACGCCGTCCCGAAAGCAAGATGGGAGGATGTTATAAAGTGATCAGACTTCTATATGAATACTTCTATATTGCTCTTCTTAAAATAAAATACACTCTTGGTCTTTATATAGACCCAATGGCTTTTACAATTCTAAAAACATAACTGCTACTAATAAACTATCATAACTTACTAAACTTTTGTCCTTCCTACTACCATATTTAATGTAAAACTTATTACTAACACATTAAAGTTTATTCAACAAAACTCCTCTGTAAACTTAAATGTTTCTTCCATCCAGCATTTCTATCATCTTCTTGCCTCTGTCGAAGATCTCTTTTGATAGTGGTTTTGTAAAAATATCCGCTGCTTGGTTTCTGCTTGCTACATGCCTCAATTCGACACTTCCCTCCTTCACATGTTCACGAATGAAGTGAAATCGAACATCAATGTGTTTGCTTCGTTCATGATTCACTGGATTCTTTGCCAATTCGATAGCTGATTTATTGTCCACTTGTATTATTGTTGGACCTCCCTGTTTTAGCTCCATCTTGCTTATCAACCTTCTGAGCCATACTGCATGACAGACACACCAGGATGCTGCCACATATTCAGCTTCACACGTCGAAAGTGTTACTATAGGTTGCTACTTCGATAACCAAGTAAATGTTGTGTTTCCCATGAAAAACACATATCCAGAGGTGCTCTTTCGATCGTCTATGTCTCCGCACCAGTCACTGTCAGAATAACCAACTAACTTATAGTCTTCTGTTTTTGAATAAAACATTCCTAGTGATATTGTTTCTTGGATGTATCTTAGAATTCGTTCCAGTGCCTTCCAATGTGTGTGTACTGGCTCCTCCATGAATCGACTCACTAAGCCAACACTTAGTGAAATGTCTGGCCTTGTGCATGTGAGATATCGAAGGCTACCTACCAAGCTTCGATATTTGCTTCCTTCGACCCGTTCTCCTCCATCAAACTTTGACAGTTTTGTACCTGGTTCCATTGGCGTCGAAGTTGGATTGCAATTCTTCTTTTTATATTTTTCTAGGATTTCTTTTGCATATTTTTCTTGTGAGATAAAGATTCCAGCTTCTTCTTGTCGAACCTCCAGACCAAGAAAGAATCTCATCAGACCTAAGTCTGTCATTTCGAATTCGCTTGTCATGGTGCTCTTGAAATCTTCGATCATCTGAACATCACTGCCTAGAAAGATAAGATCATCAACATAGAGAGCAACAAGTAATAAATTACTTCCATTTTTCTTCACATAGAGGGCGGGTTCAAAAGGACATTGCTCGAACCCATTCTCCTTGAAATATGTGTCAATACGTGTGTTCCATGCCCTAGGTGCTTGCTTCAGTCCATACAGCGATTTCTTCAGTTTCAACACCTTCTTCTCTTCTCCAATTCTCATATATCCAAGTGGTTGTTCGACATAGATTTCTTCTTCGATCACACCATTCAAAAATGATGTCTTGACATCCATTTGAAATATTGGCCATTTGAATTGAGCAGCTTGAGAAATGAGTAATCGAATTGTCTCCATTCTTGCAACAGGCGCAAACACTTCGTCATAGTCAATTCCTGATTTCTGTTTGTATCCCTTCGCAACCAGTCGTGCTTTGAATCTTTCGATTTCTCCTTGAGCATTCATCTTTTTCTTGAATACCCACTTTACACCAATAGGTTGACTACCTTTTAGCAATTCGACTAGCTCCCAAGTATTGTTGCGTTCGATTGCTCTAATTTCTTCGTCCATGGAACTTTTCCACTTCTTATCTCGTAACGCTTCTTCGACACTGATATTTTCAGCATCTGCCAGAAGACACACAAGATGCACCTCACTTGTTGAATCATACAAATCTTGCAAACTTCTCATTTTTGGTTGTAGAGGTTCATCTTCATCTTTAGTTTCTTCATGTTCTGTTGGAATACTAGTTGGTACAGCTACAGTTGTTTCTTCGACTGTGTCAATAACCTCTGTCGAATTGTTCCAGTCCCACTTGCTTGCTTCGTCCATTCGAACGTCTCTACTCACGATCACTTTCTTGCTTATGGGATTGAAGATCTTGTACCCTTTCGTCTTCTCATCATATCCAATGAATATGTGCTTCTGACTTTTGTCTTCAAGCTTTGTTCTTCGTTGATCTGGTACATGTGCATAAGCTATACTACCAAATACCTTGAGATGAGAAATTGTTGGCTTCTGTCCAGTCCATGCTTCTTGTGGTGTTTTGTCTTCTAACTTCGAATGTGGACATCTATTTTGAATATAAACAGCACATTGTACTGCTTCTGCCCAGAATTCTTTCGACATGTTCTTGCTTTTGAGCATTGATCGAGTCATGTCAAGAATAGTTCGATTCTTCCTTTCAGCCACACCATTTTGTTGAGGTGAATATGGTGCAGATAGGAATCTCCTTATGCCCTGTTCTTCACAGTACTTCACAAAGGCCATTGAAGTATACTCACCTCCTCTGTCAGATCGAAATGCTTTGATGTGTCTGTCTGTTGCCTTCTCCACCATTACTTTGAACTTTTTGAACACTTCTAATGCTTCAGATTTTTCTTTCAGGAAGTAAACCCGGGTTTTTCTTGAGAAGTCATCAATAAAAGAAATGAAGTACCTTTTTCCACTGAAGGATTCTGGAGTGATTGGCCCACATATGTCAGTATGTATCAATTCGAGAATATGTTTAGCTTAATACTCTGCCTTCCTTTGAAATGAGGTTCTTGTTTGTTTGCTGAGCACACATTCTTCACAGAATTTTCCTTCGAAATCCATGTCTGGTAGTCCATGCACCATGTTCCTTTTCGCCAACCTTTTCAAACCAGCATGATGTAGATGACCAGAGCGCATATGCCACAGTGACGCTTTGTCTTGCACTTCGATTTGCAGACATTTCTCTCGAATGTTCCTCAGGTTCAGTTTGTACATTTGATTTCTTTCCATTTCGACACTGGCAATCAGATGTCCTACTTTGTCCTTCAAATGCAATGTTCGATCTTTCATAAGTATCGAAACACCTTTTTCTGTAAGTTGTCCCGGACTTAATATGTTGGTCTTGAGATCTGGTACATAGTAAACGTCTTCGATTGATCCAATCAAGTCATCCTTCTGCAAGTAACCGATTGTGCCCTTTCCTTCGACCTTCACTTTCGATGCATCTCCAAAGGACACATTACCATCTTCAATTCTCTTCATATCTTTAAACAGGTGTTTGTAACCACACATGTGATTACTTGCTCCTGAGTCAAGATACCAAACATTGTCATTATTGGTGTTGATTTCGTTTTGAGCCATCAGGAGAAAGCCTTCATTCGATTCAGCTTCCAAGGCTAGGTTGGTTGTTTCTTCAATCTTCTTTTCGATTCGACAGTCTTTTGCAAGATGTCCCACGCTTGTTTCGACGTAGTCGAACCAACAATTTTTTCGAAGCCTGATTCATCTACAGCCCTGAACAACATGTATAATGCCGTTTTGTCCTTCGATCGCGTCTCTTTCAACGCCTTCGTTTGAGTTGTCGTATATCCCCCAACTTCTGTTGGTTCTACAAACCCATCATGGGTCACATCCCACGCATCTAGAGATCCAAGAAGAGCTTTCATTTGGATACTCCAGTTTTCATAATTTGACTTCGTTAGCCATGACAACGACATTTGATTCATCATGTTTTCCATGAGCTCTGATGCCAAATTGTTATAAAGTGATCAGACTTCTATATGAATACTTCTATATTGCTCTTGTTAAAATAAAATACACTCTTGGTCTTTATATAGACCCAATGACTTTTACAATTCTAAAAACATAACTGCTACTAATAAATTATCATAACTTACTAAACTTTTGTCCTTCCTACTACCATATTTAATGTAAAACTTATTACTAACACATTAAAGTTTATTCAACAGAGGAATGGGCGGTTGAGGTTACCGGGTTGGTTAAAAACCCAACCCGATTCACCATGGACCGTCTCGTCCGCGAGTTTCCTAGCCGCGAGCTTCCGGTTACACTAGTTTGCGCTGGTAACCGTCGGAAAGAACAAAACATGTTAAAACAAAGCATTGGTTTCAACTTGGGTGCTGCAGCGGTTTCAAATACAGTATGGCGCGGGGTTTCGTTACGCAACCTCTTGAAATGCAATGGGATCTAGGCGCAGTCGAAAGGCGCGATTCATGTTTGTTTTTACGGTGCTGAAGATTTACCTGGTGGTGTTGGATCCAAATATACGACTAGTATTAGGAGAGAAATTGCAATGGATCCTTCACGGGATGTTATCCTTGCTTACATGCAGAATAGTGAAGCTCTAGCTCCGGATCATGGGTTTCCGGTTTAGGTTATTATACTGGGTTTTATTGGTGGTCGCATAGTGAAATGGCTTAAACGTATTGTTGTTACTTATGATGAATGTGATGGTCATTATCATTATAAGGATAATAGAGTTCTTCCTTCTCATGTTGATGTTGAACAAGTCAATGAAGAAAGCAACTTTATCATCCTACATATAAGAACAGACATTTAAGAACACACATGAAACTAACACTGGCACATCCAACATTAGTCCAGACACAATTTTTTTTAGAGGTGTCTATACACACTTGCAAAAAAAAATTGTTGTTCAAACTTAAAATGAGACACTTAACACTCAACCAGAAAACCCTATTTAAATGTTATGGTAAATCATCATTCATTCACATATATTAATCAATTCAGATTTTTTCTATGCTATATCTATTGTTTAGAGAACAAGTTGATATTTGAGAAATAAGAGAGAAGTTTTCCAATGAAAATGACCAACTGAGATATATAATAATTAATTAATCTCAATTTGCTCCTCAAGTATTGGATTTTATAGTTTATTGGCAGAATTAAATACTGTGTGTGACCTTTTCACTTTGTAATCAGCATCATGATATCAAATTGAAAGACGTCTATATGGTTTTCTTTTTCAAATTAACCAAATTGGACTTTGCTTTATGGATATTCTAAAACTTAATTTTTGATTAAATACTTTTATTAATATAATACTTTATTTTATTAATTTAAGGACAC